TCTTTCCCTGCAAGTGCAGCGGTAGCATCAAATACGTCCACCAAGAATGCCTGATGGAATGGCTGTCCCACACCCAGAAGAAGCACTGCGAACTATGCAAGACATCCTTCCGCTTCACCAAACTATACCACCCCGGCATGCCGAATCGCATACCCACGACCGTCTTCGTACGCCGCGCCGCTCTCCACGTACTCAACATGTTCGCAACCTGGTGCCGAGGGGTCCTGGTGGGCGCCGTATGGCTCTTCTTACTACCCTGGTGCATGCGTGTCGTATGGCGCAGCCTGTTCTGGGTCGGCGATGGTGGCTGGTCACAAGACATGTTTGCCGACACACCTGAGACGTCAGTAATGCCCGCAACTGGTAGAGGACTGGCCCCTAGCGATATCGACTTGATACGCTCTGCACTCGATACCGCCAAGAGCAACAACTCGACTGTGCATGTGGCAAGTACCGTCGGGCCCATGAAGATTACGTATACTCCAAACAATTCCACGACTAGCGAATCCATCCTCTGGACCTATGCCAAACGAGTCTTCTTCGGGGTCCCATTCCCCTTTTCCCAACTTGCACAACCCGACAGAATAACTACTCACGTATCTGTCGTTGACAAGAACGGCACCGTTTCCAATACTACCTCAGACCATCTGGGTGTTCGCAGTCCGTCGCTTCTCTCCGATGTCCCCTTCTTCAACTGGTTCCAGTCTCAAAGCGCCAATCGCTTTATTGTTGACGTGATAGAGGGCCAGATCATCACTCTACTCGTTGTCGTGGCGTTCATCCTTGTCTTCCTGATTCGGGAGTGGGTGGTCCAGCAACAACCTGTCATCAATATGGTTGCCCTCGGTGACAACGCTGCTGCGCAGAGAGCTGCCATCATAGAAGAGGAGGCTCTCGTTGACAATGTGATCGTTGATGAGGGCGAGCTGGAAGACGCTCTAGATGCTTTGGACGCCGAAGTGGCTGGGGAGGCCGCAGATGTGGAAGAAGCTCATGAACCTGAAAATACTGACCAAAACGAGCCAATTGCCCCTGGAGACTTCGCTCGCGAGAATGACGAGCCCGAGGCTGCCGAACCTACGATACGCCGCGTTCGCCGGTCTTCCTCGCTCCGCCGAGAACGCGACGAGCTTGTTCGCAATATAGTACGCGAAGGCCTCTCGGGTGATTTGAGGTCAATGATGCAATCGGATGAGCTTGTGGATGCCTATGACGATGAATTCCCATCTCAGAGCTTCAACGAGGCTATTGAGCGAGCAATGATGGAAGACGGCGAGGCTAGCAGCTCAAGCTTTCCTGCAAGAACCTCGTCACTCCACCAAGCTTCAGGCGTAGCGCCAGATCTTGAAGGTTCCGAGTCGTCTTCATCTTCGCACAGACCAAACATGCCAGCACGCGATAGATCCTTCATCGCGACAGAGATTCGTCGCGGCCTAGAAGAGGGTAATCCATGGTCTTTCGAGAACGTACCACAATCGTCAGCTTCGAACGAGGAAAGTGCTGAAAACGTACCTGAATCGTGGGAAGACGATGACAACGCAGACCGAAGAGCCGATCAAGGACCCGAGGCTGCATCGGATCACGAACCGGGTAGCGAGCACAGCAGTGGAAGCTGGCAGCAAGTCCCTGAGGCTGTAGAAGATGACTCCGACCAAGCGCTGGAAGGAGAACATGTTCACGACAAGGGTAAAGCTAAAACTGTCGACGCCAGTGTGGAGGATAATCTACCCGAGTCAACGTCTTCTGCACAAAGCAGTTCTACTCATCTAGACAACTCAATTACGGTCGATACTACGATTGAAGTCGACAACAGCAGTAGCCAACCTGACCAAGACTCAACCGCCCGCGAAGATCAGGAGCATTCTGAAGTGGGTCAGCAAAACCCGGACGATCAGCCTGCAGTTCCAGCCAACGCACAACCAGCAGCGCCTCAACCTCCACAAAATCCAGTGAACCAAGTATTGGACTGGATGTTTGGAGACATAGCCCCGATGGCTCAACCTGTCGAAGAGGGAGGCAACGATGAGCATATCGTGCGCGATCTGGCAGACGAAGCGCCTTTTGTGCCCTTCCTAGGGAACGAGCCGCGGGATCATGGCAATGCTGCGCCCCAAGATCCTGAAGTTGCTGCTGCTGCTGCACAAGCTGGCATAGATGTCAACGACCAGGAAGCGATTGAAGACGCTGAAGATCTGGAAGGTATACTTGAGCTCATTGGTATGCAAGGGCCTATTGTCGGTCTTTTCCAGAACGCCCTGTTCAGTGCCGTGCTGATCACCTGCACACTGGCGTGCGCCGTGTGGGTTCCTTATCTCTGGGGTAAATTCGTCATCATAATGGTGGGAAGTCCTATCGAACTCCTCAAAATCCCTCTACAGGCGGTCGCTGCAGTGACGGACTTCATAGTCGACGTCACGCTCTTCCTCGTAGCTGGTACGACGTACTGGAGCTCTTATGCCATCTCCAGTCTGGTCAAGCTCTGTTCCTTGGGGAAACTGTCTCAAACCATAGATGGTCCACTCCGTGCAGTATCTACGCCAGCATACTCCCTTGCAGAGAGTGCGATGGTTCGTATTGGTAAGATGTTCATGGATTCGCCATTATCTTCTCAGCCCAGCTACACCCAATTCACGCTCAACGCACACGCTTCACTACGAAGCCTGCAGAACACGACCTCATTTGCGCTCAATGAAACGAGCAGCTTTGCAAACGCCATCATCGAGGAGATTTCTGCAGACTCGCCGCCCAAGCTTGTGCTTAGGGTCCTTGGACGCCTTCCCTCGTTGATTCAGGATATCTTTACGACTACCTACGGCCAGTGCAGCTCTCTGCTCTCATGGCTTTGGACGGCCAAGTCGTACAAGATCACCATTGATCTAGACTCGAACAGCAGCACCGCTGCCGCATACACTGCATTGGAGCGATGGACGGCGAGCGACCGCCTGATCGCAATACTGGCTGGCTATGGGTTCTTCGCTTTCCTTGGTGCGATATATCTCAGGCGCGGCACACCTTTCAGCTCGTCACAGCAAGGACAAAGGATCGAACGCATTCTTTCTGATATACTACAACAAGCCGGAGGTGTGCTCAAGGTGATCCTTATCATTAGTATCGAGATGTTGGCATTCCCGCTGTACTGCGGGCTGCTTCTCGACTTGGCCATGCTCCCACTATTCCAGAACGCTACGCTGTACAACCGGTGGCAGTTCGCGAGAGAGAGTCCATGGACATCTGGATTCGTGCATTGGTTTATCGGTACCTGCTACATGTTCCACTTCGCGCTCTTTGTGTCCATGTGCCGCAAGATCATGCGCAAGGGTGTACTGTACTTCATCCGCGACCCAGATGATCCGACCTTCCATCCTGTCCGGGACGTCCTAGAGCGTAGCGTTACGACTCAACTTCGCAAGATCGCCTTCAGCGCTCTTGTGTATGGAGCACTCGTTATTGTATGCCTTGGCGGTGTCGTATGGACCTTGAGCCGTGCTACTACCAACGTCCTGCCAATTCACTGGACTACCGAAGCACCATCGCTGGAGTTTCCGCTCGACCTTCTCTTCTACAACTTCCTCACGCCGGTCATCATCAAGTTCTACAAGCCTAGTGAGGGTCTACATGCCATCTACAAATGGTGCTTCCAGAAGTGCGCTGGGTTCCTTCGCCTGTCCAACTTCCTCTTTGGCGACAAGGTCCCTGCGCAAGAAGGCGATGATGGTCGATACGTTCGTGCACCCGCTTCCGATCAAGCTCGCATCCCCAAGGGCCAACCTGTCTTCGTCGAAGTCGACCGCGACAATGTGCGCAAAGATGGAGAGAATGAGGGCGGAGTGCACAACTCCGATCTCGTGTCAATGGTATTCATCCCACCATGGTTCCGCGTGCGCATTCTCTGCTTCATCGTCACGATATGGATCTTCATGGGTCTATCAGGAGTAAGCGTAACGATCCTACCCCTCCTCTTCGGCCGCTACCTCTTCTCGCTCTTTCTCCCACCAACCGTTGAGATGAACGACATCCACGCCTTCTCCCTCGGTGTCTACACTCTGGCCAGTATCGGATACTCCGCCTACCACGCCTTCAAATTCATCTCCTCGCTCAACCGATCCATCCCAGATCCCATGTCCACACTCCACACCATCGCAGCAACCACCTCGCGCGTCGGTGGCCGAGCCCTCCGCTTCTCATACGTCTGGGCAACGCTCATCTTCGCCATCCCCTTCCTCTTCGCCGTCCTCCTAGAACTCTACTTCCTCATGCCCCTGCACGCCTACCTCGGCCCCAAGGAACCCCACGTCGTCCACGTCATCCAAGACTGGACCCTCGGCTTCTTGTACTCTCGTCTCGCCGCACGCCTCGTCTTCGCGAACCGCAATTCCCGGCCCGCACGTGCGTTCAAAGCTGTTATCAGAGATGGCTGGCTCTACCCCAACGCCAAGATCGCGACACGCTGTTTTCTCATCCCCGTGCTGGCGCTCTTCCTCGTCGCTATTGCCGTTCCATCCAGTCTGGCGTTTGTCACGAGTCGAACGCTATACCGGAACGCGAACGAAGCGACGAAGAACTTACTCTGGCGCTTCAGCTTCCCGGCTGTGGGACTTGCTTTGGTGGTTATGTGGGCTTCGTCGGCGGTTGTCAGGCTCCTTGTGAGATGGAGGTTGGTCGTTAGGGATGAGGTTTATCTTATAGGAGAGAGGTTGCACAACTTTGGGGAGAGGAAAGCGCCCGTTCAGCCTGCTTCTGCTGCTACTCCTGCGGCGGGTGTTGAGGGTGTTGATGTGGGCACGCAGACTGCTTAGTTTCGTGGGTTCGTCGGTCGGTGTGTTGTCGTTTTGGGTGTAAGAGTGGAATTGCTGCATATCCTTTTCATTATGCATTTGCTTTCACTGGGTGGATTAGAAGACATGTCAGTCGTTTTGTCAGCGGGCTAGCCAGATAGCTGGCCAAGTCCCAGTATCTTAGCATGAATCTCACGCTGCTCATCCTTGTTGCATTGATCTACACTATTGCCCTGTGAACTTGATCTTCTGTCCATTGGTCTATCAATTAATGTCGTGGTCAACTACGCATGATGCTCACTCATCTCGCTACTCCACAACCGCCTTCCTAGCACAGGCCAACGTCCGAAGCCTTCGACTGCCACCCTCCCTCAGCCATAAGAACCTCTCCAAGAACTCTGCTAACCCGAAGAAGATGTCCGTCGCGCCCTCTTCCCGCAACAACAGAAACACCAACAGGCATGCCGTTCATCCCCTTGAAAGCAGGTATGTGTACCACTGGCACATGCAGACCCTGGATAAAAGTCAAACTCGTTTTTATCTACCACCTGTAACACGTCAACTCACCGTCCACAGCGTATTAAACACCGGACTCCCCATATCGTTAAGCCCCACCGGCGCCTCATCTATAGCGCTTGGCGCGATGATGACAGAGTACTTGGCTGCTATCGTGTCGAATTGCGTACGCAGATGCGTGTATTTTTCCAGAGCTTCTCTTCTTTTCTTTTCCGCATCAGCGTGTTTAGAGTGGTTTTCTGCTAGGTTCCGAATCGAGAGGTCCAAATCACTCTTGTGCGAACAGTATTCTTCGTAGAAAGCGAGTGCGGTCTCAGCATCTATGATTGCGTTTTGTAAGCGCGTTAGAGTGTCTGCATCGCCAAAGTCATCCGGTACTGACACTTCTTCGACCTGTATGCCGTGGTTCTGCAGTATCGCGGCTGTTTTATGCATGGCGTTTATAGTACCAGGTCCGGCATATGACCACATGGGTGTTTTGACAAGAGCGACTGCGATATCTCCCAAGCATACCTTTCCTGGGCGCTGGTCGTCAGCGAGTGAAAAGACATCTGCCAGTAACTGCAGATCCGCTATACTGCGAGCGAAGAAGCCGATGGTATCGAATGTAGAAGAAACGATCTTTTGCCGCGAGGTTGAGATGGCGTTATGCGTGGGTTTCATAGCGAATGTTCCACAGTAGGCTGCTGGTCGGATGACGCTTCCGCCTGTCTGGACGCCTAGGGCAAGTGGAATCTGCATATCGGCTACTGCGGCGGCGGACCCGCATGAGGAGCCGCCTGGGGTTCGAGATGGGTCGTGGGGATTGGTGGTCGGAGGTCCGGAATTTGTTACTGTGAATTCAGTTGTCGTTGTCTTGCCTGTGGGAGACGTCAACAATCATTCTTAAGAAAGGTGCATTGACTAGCCGAAGATCAAAGCTCCTGCAGCTCGTAGAATGGCAACAGCCGATGAGTCGCAGCCAGATTGGTGTCCCTTGTATATTGGAGAGCCATATTGGGTGGGCATGTCTGGGGGTTGTCAACATCTGGCATACAAAGGACTTTGCTTTACGACCTTTCGTGTTCATCACATCTTTGATACCTATCGCCACTCCATGCAGCGGTCCTCTCTGGTTTTCTGGTATTTGATCAAGTTCTCTAGCTCGGCGCAGAACAAGCTGCTGGTCTGGCTTTTGCTCAGATCGAGACGTGTTTATAGGCAGAGCAAGACTCACCGAGGTGTGCCCATGCCTTCACTACATCGTCGCGGTCACGGATGCGGTCAAGGAGAGATTGTGCATAAGTCTCGACCGTGATGGTATTGGCTTTGAGCAGTTCCAGTACCTGCACTGCTGTCAGAGTGTATAATGCAGGTGATGTTGACATGTTTGGAGAATATTGGGAAGGAGCAGCCTGGAGAGAGAGAGAGGTAGGGCATAGAAACATGGATGAGTATATGCGATAGCATGCATGACCGATCTGCATGCAAGGGGATGCCCAACTCGCCAATGATCCATTTTGATATCTGCACGCATGAAACGCAAGTTGCCGGTACAGATTTGAGAAGTTTGTATTGATTTCCTCCCATAGCGCCGTATCTGATGCAAATTGTACAGTAATACATGGTATACACATACGCGACCGTCGTTCCCGGTGTGGTCCGTCTAGAAACCCGGAGGGTTGAGTCGTTGACTGACTCTTGTCCACTTTGGCACCTCTGTATGTTGTCAGCCACCGCAATTTCAGAATGTGTTTGATTCTCCTTCTGCAGCCACAACCTTGTGCTCTCGTGCACTAGCAGTATGCAACTTACTGTGTATTCCCTTTCGATACCTCTTCACCTTACGGTCAAAGACGGTGTATTTGTCCTTGGGCAGCATCTCCGCCTCGGTTGGCATCTCCATCTTCCAGCGCTCCACCTTCTTCATGCTTTGTCCCATGCGTCGTAGTGCGGTATCGATTGTGCCGACCACAGTGTCAACGTGCCGTAGGCGCTCGCGCTGCCTGTACTTCTGATGTCTGGATAGCCGCCATGGTATCTTCCTATAGTTTTTTCAGCACGGGCTGCCAGATATCGAGTCGCAACTGATAGAAGGTGCATCGGAGCGGGAATTGTGATGGCGACGACGAGCAATTGCGCGCGGGTGACAATTCGGGGAATGTAGGGAGTCGCACCATAATAGACCGCCCGATAGCGGGTTTGTGAGGCGGAATGGACCGAACATGGTGAGGTGCTGGGGTTGGCGATGCTAGGCTGCGCAATCGACGTCGCGATATTCTTCGAAAGGCACTCCCGCGGACTTTCTTGGCAGACATGCCGACTAGCGTGGGGAAGCTCACCAACACACCCCACACGTTGCACAGCTAAACCCAAGCTATACTCACGACTATACGAATTACGAATCCCGACGCAGTTATTTTCGACATCAGTAAGAGCAGAAAGCCTGTACTAGGCTAGATCACGCATCCCCACCTGGACCACGCGGCGCACGCCAAACACTCCACACGTATACCGACGTACAACCTCATACCTCACCATGTCATACACGTTCTCCATTCTGTCGCCTCTCGATGTTCCTCTCTTCACGCACGACTTCGGTACCTCACGCAGCGGCGGCACCGGTGTCGCGAACTATACCCCCGCCGAGCGCGCCCTCGTCCCGTTCATCCTACACTCGTCCCTCGATATAGTCGAGGAAGTACAATGGGGCCCTTCTACATCCAGTGGTTCCGCGCCCATGTATCTTAAGCACATCGACAAATACCAGAACTGCTTCGTGTCGTGCTGGATCACCGGCGGCAATACACGCTTCCTTCTGCTCACAAGACCACGGGACGAAAGTCTGGGGCTAACGAGTGGAGGTGCTGGAGGCGCGAGGGGAAGTCTAGCGGGTGGAAGAGCTGCTTTGGGAGGAGGTGCTGGTCTATACAACCCGAGTAGCCCAGCCACGGAAGAAGCTGTCAAGAACTTCATGGTCGACGTATACGAGGCATGGGTCAAGACTATTATGAATCCCTTTTTTGCTGTGGGTAATGGCGAAGTCATCAAGAGCCCGGTTTTTAGACAGAGAGTTGCGACTGCCGCAAAGAAATATCTATGAAGGGAGAGGAGACATCACGGAATCACCAATTCAAGAATGGAGACGACCATCGGCCGAGGACCCATTTTATACCCGGGTGCACGGTGAATGGCACAAGAGCAGTCTAGATTATTGCGATCTGATTGGAGAGTATCGGCAAGATAACTGCTGAAAGGTCTCACTTCCACTTCGCAGCGACGCAAATCTGAGACAAGGAAGGCAGCAACGGGAGCCTTCGAGCTAGTTGCGAGCCTTTGCACTGAGCAGGTGTGTGGTTACCCATGCCCGTGAGACTATTAGACCTAGCTGAAGTCCACCTCGCGCTTTGTAAGGGTCATGATAATTGGGAACAGGAGGATCAATATCCTGAGAGTCGATGCGATGGAGTCTCTGTCGCGCACGCATCTTTTGATAAACACTGTACTGGACTAATATATTGCATTGGGCTTGCGCGCAGCCAATCCCTCTCTATATAGCATCCTGGGTCACGAACAGCTACTAGGTCAAAAGTGGATACTCGTCGTTTGCGTCTCGGCGTTCCGTTTACCTATTATTCAAGGCACTCTACCTGCAAGCCTAAGACATGAACATAGAGGTCTTACCTTACTTACGCATCCTCAAGTCTGTGGTCACCATGAGTTGCACCTTTACCTTGGTCCCGTTTGTAATCGCGCAGATCTCTCACTCACCTTCACCTTGTCCAAGCTGGTATATCACCACTCCATCTACCCACCTTCTCCCGCTCGCAACGAACTCTCTTACCTCACAGTATTCAATATCTTTGCCTTGACTTCAGTGCGTTGCGACTCTCAGCATGGCATCGAAACCCCCCGAGGTCAGTGCTGCAGACAAACAGTGGCTCACTTTCCGACAAAAGCACGAAGCTGAGCTTAAGGGCTTCCAACGATACGCGACGGAGTCTTTTGCCAAGTTTCAGGACAACGTCAACAAGGAGCGAGCAATCATCCTCGCAAAACACCAGAAAGAAGAGGCAGAGTTCTGGAGCAAGGCCAAGGCGGCAGCAAGCAGGGAGAAGAAAAAGGTTGGTAACACGGCTGTCGGGTCTAAGACGGGTGTCCAGAGTGAGGCAAATCGTCGTTCATCTGCTGCACCACCGAGAGCTGCTCCCCCCACCAAGAACACGCCGGCGCCGAGGCCCAAAGCAACATCTATATCCAAGCCAGCGAGCAACTCAGCCACACCGGTAGCAGGACTCAGGAATAAGAAGGCCGCTGTCACTATCATTGATCTTTGTTCCGACGAGGATGACGATGAACCAGTATTACTCAAGGAAAAACCTGCTTTACAGATAGCCGGGCAAGAGCCTATCGCAAAAGACCCTCCCGGCTTGTCTGGCAAGATCGGAAATGCGGTAAGTCGGCAAATCCTAAAAGTATTCTTGACCTAAGACTAACTTATATAGAATACGTCAGAGCCAAAACAGCTGAAGCGTGAACACAGTATCTTTACTCAGCAACCCCAACACCTACTTATACAACCGCCCGCGCTATGTACAAGTAACAGTAACACTTCCGGTGTGCACGTCTCGAACTCCGTCGCCTCTCAGCATGCGCCGGCAGCTGTCCTCAGTACACAGCCGAACCTGGTTGGGGGCGTGGGTTTTGGCAACTGGGCAAATGTGCCTCGCATGTCAGATGCCCGTCAAGGAACAGCACTCAATGTTGGAGGTAGACCATTATCGGCTTCCTCTCCGTGGGCTACCCCCACAGTTTCTGCTTCACAACGCCTACAGTCGACGAGCGGTTTCGCTTCTTCGAGGCTCTCTCAAGCCCACCAGCCAGACAACTTTCAATCGCAACAAAGTGTAGGCTACCAATCAGGCCAGTCGTCGATGTTCCGGGAATCAGCTTTCCATGGCCTTCCTCGAGACGACCACGGAGCTTTGCGAAGTGCAGGCCATGCTTACTATTTGAATGGCTCAATCGAGTCTTCGCAAGACCTTGAACGTAGAGACAGGTTTGGTCCTGATTCTGTCCCTGATCATGCAACCAAAAGCGTGGAGAGCGACCTTCGTAAATCGGTTTCGGATGGTATGGACACGATGATGCATGAAGCTCCGCGTAGTAAGCTTGCTGTCTTCGATCTTATAGTGACTGAACTAACGTATACATAGCTCCGACAAGACCACAGCAGCACACTCCAAATATGCTTCCATCGCCGCAAGATACTGGTCTCGTATCCACTCAAGAGAGCCCTCGCACCCCAACCGCAAAGCCACTTACCCCTACCACTCCTAAGACTCCCAGCTTCAGAAGGCCATTCCTCCCAGCCAGTGCCACCAAAGACAGTATTGCGGTTGCTAGGGGTGTTCGGGCTGGGTCGCAGGTATCTACTTCTACGCCTACTAATCGCGCCTCGAGTGTTTCGCAAAGTCAACGCGATGCGTCAGTCGTATCGCATACTTCTTTTTCCTCGCGTTCAGGCAGAGGCAAGCGGAAGGTGGTGGATCTCAGCAGCGATGAGGAGAGTGACTATGCCCCGCCGTCTGATGATGAGGAGCCTAGTTCCCCTGTCATGATGGACGATGCTCCTGAGCCTGTAAAGAAGCAGACATCTAGGCCGGCGAGCAAGAAGGCTAAATTTCCTCCGCCACTCCCACCACCTCTTGCCTCAAAAGGTGTGTATAACAAGGGAAAAAATGGCTTTGGTTTCACGAGCTTGCAGAAATCGAAACCCAAGGTCAACAGCCAAATTGATGTGGCATTACCGACCACCCCACCGCGTGTGCCCACCAGAAAGCCTCAGCCGACGACACCATCTACACCGACACCTGCGTCTCAGAAGTCCAAAATCGTTACGTTAAAGACTCAAGGAGCAACGGTATCGCGCTCACCCCGAAAGGCCAAACTTGACGCGTCTGCAAAGATCACACAGCTTAGCGAAGCCGAATTAGAAACTCGGACCAGCATTGCTATCGATGAAGCGAACCAGCGCGAGAGAGCAACAGCTGAAGCTGGGATTTTCGAGCAAGTCAGAGGTGGCATGCGGGCTATGTCCATCACTCCCGCACCTAGCACCGCTGGCAACGCTGCAGAGGACGTAGAAATGCTGGCCGACGTTTCAGACTCTGAGATCACATCCCCCAAACACGGCGCTGGATTGGATTCGTGGACAGACTCTCGCTTCAATGGCGACAGGTATCTTGCCAAGTCACGCGCTGCTCGACCCATAGTGGAAGACGACGAGGACAACGACTACGATGACCCGGACATCAGTAAGTACAGCGTCGTCGACGGCGTTATTGTGCATGAGGCGGATCGAGAGAGACTGAGACTGACGCAAGAGCAGGAAAGGCTTACGAGATCAAGAGGGACAGACGGTGGCAGTCGCGCACGTGCAGTGACCGCAGTTGAGATGCCGAAGCATGCTCAGGGTGTGGCCGGGCAGAGTGGGAGGCGCGCAAGAAAGACTATGAGGTGAGGAGCACGGAGCTGGAGCCATGGGGATTAAATGAAAGCTACGCCTTGTACGATGTACATTGGTTGAGATTCCAATGTCGCAAGAGCGTTTGGAAGTGGAGATATCTCTTGAAGGGCAGGATGTATCGAAGTATCTGTATCTTCGTCTACTCGCATGAAGTCGCGATATGCTTCGCACTAGCTACACCTCTATCATTCATCGAAACTTCGTACAGTTCTGACTTAGCTAGTGGTAACGAGAGGCTGGTACACATTCCCCAGTGGTATCACACTTTAGCCCATCGACCATATCAAATATCTCTTACGTGAAGGCAAAACGAACAGCACCCAGCTAGCCAACCCATCCACAGCTCACTCACAGTAAAAGCATCCAGATCACCACAGACTGCAAAGAAGGAGATGACGATGCGCTGCATCTTATCAAAGCACCGAATCGGCCAGACAATACTAGTTCCGTCCCCGTTCACGCACCTGCCCCCCCACTCTCCTAAGCGCATGACAGCAACCGCCAACAAACGCCTTCCTAGAACCCGAATCTCGACGCGTCCAAAAGTCTCATCTACAGTAGTAGTAGATGCCCTAACAGTGTCAATAGTAAACGATAAAGCTTTCCTGCCCCGCAATGGCTAAAACACTAGCTCATTAGCTCACGCGACCAGCCAGCCTCATTCAATAAACGGCGCTCCGTGCATCTAACAGAGGACGAGCTCAATCAACCATCCTGCACACGAGAGCCAAGACGGGGAAACGAGCATCGACGACGCAGCAAAAAAACGGTCGGCGGTGCTACTACTTTCAACGGTTTGGCAAGTCGCGCCGAAGATTAACGTTAACGTCAGTGTTAGCTGTTTTTAGTGCCGGAAAGTGGGCGGTTACCAACTTGTGACTGGCTGGCTTTGGGTGCCCGGAGTTTTTTTGGAAAGTGGAGTAGCTGTTAGCTAGTCTAGCTAGCTTAGCGACATAGTTGGTTCGGATTAGTTAGTTCGCGCTTTTCTAGGTTCGCAGACTTGCAGTGGAGAAAGGTCTTGGGAGTTCGGTTCTTCTTGGTATTAGCATTCGGGGCGGCCGTGAGTGGATGGGATGGCTAGAGTCTTTGATGGATGTTGCGTGGTCGCGCAAGTGACATTGCGGACAATTGATCTTGATCTGAGATGCTGCGAGACTGCGAGACGGGACAGAAGGTGTCGATTAGAAAAGTGAATTGTTGCAGGTAGAGTGCGCAGACGGAGAAAAGCATCTGTTTCACACACGAGTATACCAAGAGCCTTGGAACTGCCGTCAGCGCGAAAAGCGAACGATATGTCAGCCCATCTCTGGTTTAGTTTTGACAAGCCAACTAGGCATATCCCGCCCAGTGTGACATGCCCTCCAAGCACCATCGCTGCAACTTCGGAGAGTTTTTCTTACGTTGCTTTGGAAGACGGAGGGAGGGGGCCATTTCCGACAACTACGCCTAAGTTCGTAACGGTTTTACCGTTTTCGACGCCTTTCGGGGAGGTTGGCAGCAGTTGGGTTGGTTGGGGTCCTTTCCGCGCGTACCTCGTCTCGCGTGCCACATGCCACATGCATGCATGGGTAATT